GGCAACCAGCAGGAAAACAGTGACATCAGTCCCACAACCACAAGGACAAAAATTGTGCCAATAGCCAATGCACTTGGAAGAGGACCTCCTAGATGCAAAGCTGCAGATTTCAGCCCAGTGTGATGCTAAGAATTGAGTGTGTAGCAACAACAACAAAACTGATCCAGAAGGCCACAAAGGCACACACTGAACAATGAGGTAAGCAGACCACATATACTAATGCAGTCCTTTAAAGAAAGGAGTCAGAACTACCAACTAAACAAACCTTCGCATTTCTCTTACTATGCAATACTAGTCATCTGGCCAGGGAAATAATGAATCTACTTCATATCTACTCACTCATCTAAGAAACCTTATTAGGAACTACTTGGGATGTGATATTCTCAGGCTAATTTTGCTGTGATAGAGAGGCAGACCAATAGTTAGTGGTGCCTACACATCCCGAAAAAAAGTTTCCCGACCTTAATGTAAACAAAGCCAATGTTCCCACAGACTATTTCTGAATGGTGGGTATTTTCAAAAGAAAAGAGAAATTGAGAAACTATGAAAGACCAGATGCAACTATAGACACTTTAGTCTTTTTTCCTTGAAAAGAAAACTTCAGTTGCTGCTGCTGACAGGAAACAGAGTAAAGCTGAGGCTAGTGGAATGGAGGTATTTTTGTTCCTTTATTAAACAGTGACCCCATGGCTCTGGATTGTTTCTAATGTTTCCTTTTTGTTGATCATGAACTTGAGGCTAGGTTTCATTGACTCTGAAGTAAATTTTGAAGGGGAAAAATGTGCTGACATTGCAGGTCTCCTGGATCATTAAGCTTGCCATTGCTGACCAAAGAAACACTGGGTTAGAAGGAAGCATTTATTTGCTTAAAATGAAGATGGACAGGTTGTCATTTCATAGAGCTTAGCAATAGTTCACAGGCTGTTTAGTTTTGCCAGACATTTAAATAAGCCAGAAACTAAAGAAAATATTGTGAATGGGCAGAGTGTGTAAGAAATAGCATTTTCAGAAGAGGAGGGGTGAGGAGAACATGAGGGACAGGAGGATTGAGTCGGGGATGAAGAGATGAGAGCAAGAAAAGACATACCATAATAGAGGGAGCCATTATAGATTTGAAGATAAAACTGACACTAGAGAAATGTCCAGAGGCCTACAAGACTGACCCCAGCTAACAATTTGAGCAATAGTGGAAAGGCTACCTTAAATGCCCTTACCTGATAATTGAGATTGACAACTAACTTAAATGCCAGCCTAGAGCCTTCATCTAGTAGTTGATGGAAACAGAAGCAGACACCCACAGCTAAACACTGAGTGAACTCCTGGAATCCAATTGTAGAGAGGGAGGAATGATAAGCAAAGGGGTCGAGACCAGGCTACAGAAACCCACTGAGATAGCTGACCTGAACAAGGGAGAGCTCATGGACCCCAAACTGATAGCTGGGAAACCAGCATTGGACTGACCCAGACCCCTTGAACATGGGTCTCAGTTAGAAGGACTGGGCAGTCTAAGGGACCCCTGCCAGTGGAACCAGGAGGTATCTCTCATGCACGAAAGAACTTTGGTAGCACATCCCCCATGGAGGAATACACCCTTAACCTAGAGACAAGAGGGAGGGCCTAGGCCCTACTCAAAAAGACTTGACAGATTTTGATGATCCCACCTGGAAGGGCTCACCCTCCCTTTGGAGTGGGTGGGGGAATGGGATGGGAGGGGGTTGGGGGGCATGGGAGGGTGGGAGGGTGAGGGAACTGGGATTGAAATGTAAAATAAGGAAAAATAATAATAAAATAGGAAGAAGAAGAAGAAGAAGAAGAAGAAGAAGAAGAAGAAGAAGAAGAAGAAGAAGAAGAAGAAGAAGAAGGCACTTTTGTAATAGCATCTCAGGTAGGTCGATACCTAATAACTCTGTTAGCAGGTGCTAGGCAATTGCTATTGGGACAATCACTTCTTTGCCTCTTGCATTGACTGTACGCAAGCATGGGGTTGCTTTGTGTTACAGACCATCTCCTTTGTGGTGCTTGCTGCAAGTAGTGAACCTCTGCTCTTTCTCTGAGGTCATGGAGGTAATCAAAATCTTTGTGCTCTGCAAGGACAAACCTACTACATTCTGATTTTTATCTTATGCCATCTGTTGTAGAGCAAAACTCCTTTTACAAGGCACCGTAATTCACTGTGTTGGCTTTTATTGTAGACTAGAATTACTTTGCTCTAAAGCAAGGATGTAAATTCAGTGTCGATGAATGTTAGGCTATCAAAATGATCACCCTTTTTGGCTACTTTTCTAGAAGACTGCAATATTGATTAAGACAAGCCAAGATCAATTGTGTTAACATCTCACAAGCAACTCTGAACATCACACTGTTTCCTTTAGTGTTAGGAAAGAAAACAGAGCAAATGGCACCTCTGGATTTGATTCTGTGATCAATGTAGAAAGCTTAATTTTAGTGCAGCATTCCAGTCATGATTGCTTTTCTTTTCTGGCTTTAACTTCAACTAGTTAGTTTAGACTGTGTTTTTTGTTTTGTTTTGTCTTTGTAAAGCACATAATGGTTTTCTGCTTGCTTAATATCTACTGAGTCTCTCATACCTAGTCCAGATTTTTCTTCAAGAATGTCTCCCCCTCATAGACAAATGCTTTGTCCATATTCCCGATGTGGGGTTATGCACCTCTGACAATCCAATTACCCATTTAGACTCTGAGAAACTTTAAGGTTGCATTGCATGGCCAGTCACACTCTCTCTTCTTCCTGACCCAGGGCTAGATATGTAGCAGGAACTTATAGATGCTTATTAAGTTAAGAAAATTGAACAAATATTGCAAGGGGACTCTAGACAAGATTGGGGATTTCAGGTTCCTCTTAAATGGACTATTGTCCCCTCTGTTTCCATACAATTTTCCAAGTAGGCCTGTGTGGCTGGGACCAATTTTGGATAGAGAATAAGGATGAGACTTAAAAAGAACAGGAAAAAATGTGCAAGACTGAGAATAGGCTTTCTCAGAGTAGGATAATGAATGAAGTATGACCCATAGGATGCCACAGCACCAGCCAGGGATCACATGATGTGTGCATGTTGTATTGTTGCCTGTAGGGTTTCCAGTCATTATGAATATCCCTTCTTACCTCCTCCATTCTGTTCTCTATCTTCTCTCCTGTTATTTTTTTCTCATTCCTCCTAACCATCTTGTGGTCTTTCTGGAAGTCCCCCCTTTTACTGATAGAAGCTAAAGCAAGGTTGACAAACTTTTAAGGGGGATGCAATTCTCATCCCATTCTCCTCACTCCTCCCCAATCTGAAAGGCCATGGAGTAGAAATAAGTCAGAAGAATGTGGGAGAGCTTCCTCACTTTGGGGTTTCCTCATTTGTTCTATTTTGGATAGCATCTTTGGGTGTGGGAGGCAAACTTTTTCTCTGTGGAAGCCTTTTCCTTCCCCCTTAACTCCAGCACTGAAAAGGATTTTACTGGCTCATTTATCCTGGAAATACAAATATAGCTGTATCTTTTTTTAAAATAAAGGTTAATTAATTACTTAACTATTGAAAATAGGTTGTCCTTTAGCCCAGGATAGCCTCAAAATCACTATGTAGCCAACATTGGCTTTTGACTTCTGATCCTTCTGCTCATGAACCACCTGGCTAATGTGGTGAAAGGGACTTCATGTGTGCTGAGCAAGAACTACACACAGACACACAGACACAAACACAGATACACACACACACACACACACACACACACACTTTTTTCTTTTGAATACGTGTGTGTGTGTGTGTGTGTGTGTGTGTGTGTGTGTGTGTGTGTGTTTTATCCCACTTCATCCTGTCCCAGATTGTGGCCTATTACATCCATTGGCTGGAGAATTGCTGTAAGCATCTCCAGGCACTGACTCACCTCACCGTCTTCATAGTCATGATCTAGAAGGGTGGGGCTGCCCCAAGCTCTGGGAAATGCCTATGGAGACTACAGCAAGGGAGACCTGGGGATGTGGCTAACTCTGCATTCACTAATTACCATGTTAGTTATTCCAGAACTACTATATGTACATTCCAGGTAGAATGTCAGGGCTTACATAAAAAAAAAAAAAAAAAAAAAGAAAAGAAACAGAACCCATTCTTTACTAATTAGAAAATGAGAAGTTATTAATTTTGAAAGAGAGTCAATTCTTTAAAAAGAACAGAATAAACTGACACAAATGAACCATGAAGTAATATTTTTGCCAGAGAAAACAGTTGTGGCAGCATGAAGGGGTGTGCCCGCCCACAGGGAGCACTGAACTGTTCATGGGGTTGGCTCTCAGCTTGCTGGGTGTAGTTTACAATCCACAGCAAACAGAAGCCATTCCTGTGGTTTTTAAAGCTATGTATCTTCTGCAACTCTTATCCACAAATGTAATCAACACATTGGTTATTTTGGCTGATTTTATAGTTCCAGAAAGTAGTTCCAATGTTTTATCTTTTTTTAGATTTTTCTGAACACTAATAGCAATAGATGGACATGTAGAGAAGATTTTATGTGCGATCGTTTATGAAGTACATGGATACCATTTAAAATGCTGTGGGTAGTAAAGAGAGAAAACACTCCATGCAGAGTTTAGAAATCTCTCTTTCTAGATCAATATATTTATCCTCTATCTAGCTATTCATTATCTATCTATCTATCTATCTATCTATCTATCTATCTATCTATCTGTCTGTCTGTCTGTCTATTGTCTATACATACATATGTGCATATCTACATCTACCATCTATTTATCTATCCACACATACATATACATATACAAAAGGCTCCTCCATTCTAAGATTTTGGTAGTTAAGACTAAACCAACCTCAGAGTTGCTTAGCAACAGTTTCTTTACCATTCATGACCACAACATCCTCTTTATTCTTGTGTAAACATATGTTTATCAATCTTTGTAGGAAAACCTTGTTTTAATAAACCCAGTAACAGGCATATATGATAGTACTCATGTAGGTAATTAGCACAAACAAATGGCACACTTACAATTGCATTTCTTCTGCACAAATCTCAGCTTGCATGCTGTTCTGTAGGTGGAGAGTCGGATACGATCCAGATCTTGAGCCCCTAATATGGGAAAAAAGAGCATACATATGGTATGCCGTTTGTATAGACAGGAGCTTGTAATGTTTGTAAATAAAACAACTGCAGATATAATCCATATGCTTATTGGTACTTTTGTTGGAATCTAAATATTAGTTTAAGACTCAGAAAGGACTATTCAGTATTCTAGTTCTCAGGGCAGAGAACTGGTGTTCATTTGGACAGTCAACCATGATCATGGACCAAAGAACAAAACATCTCCCTGCTGTGTCTGACACTCCTAGAACAATATACTCAAGCTGTGACTTGAGTAACAGCAAGATGAGAAGAAATATCACTGAATAAATGAGCTTTTAGATTCATCACTGTTATCATTAGAACACAGCTGCTAGGTGACAACACATTGGATATTGAATATTTTCTCTGTGAGACCTTCAACCAAATGCTTTGGGAAACCTTGGCTTTCCCAATTACAAGGCTGGGATAATGATACAGTCACTATTTCACATGATTGCTGTAAATGCAAATGAAGGCGTTCTCCTAGTGCTCTAATGTAAGTGCTCTCTGTTTGTACTAATGTATATCTAGAAACCTCAGAGGGGAGACTGCTTTCCAGAACCAACTTCTTCTCTTGCTCTGTGGCCTCCATGTCCATCTTAGCATTGGAGGAACATGTCCCTACATTCTTACTGAGGTCCCTATTCTACTCTTTCAGTCAGGAATCCATTCCAACTGTTGATGCCAAGACACCAGTTCGGAAAACCTTGCTCAGAGGTCAAGACCTACCACAGTGTTACCATTTTACCCACCCAGTAATGTTTCCTAACAACCCATCTAGAGCCCTACTGGGCTTGGACTGGCTCCCTCACAGTCCTCTAAGCTTCTAGTGTCCCTCTTACCTTACCCAAATGGGCCAATTGCAAGACCATCTCCCAAATAAACAAGGCTCTGAACAGATGTCTGCTTTTAAGTATTTTGTTGTTCACAACTGAAATAAAAGCATATAGGCTATATTTGGACATGTACTGGAGCTTTCTCTTCATGAATAGTGCCTACATAACTGCTATACAAATGCTTGATAATAGAACAGCAGGTATATGGACTCTTCTGGAAGCATGGGGACTAGCCAATGAAGTGTTTTTTTTTTTTTCAAAGAATCAGGATGGCTTCATAAATACCCACCACTGATGGAGTTTTACTCTTCCTTGACTCTTTAGAGTCACTTGGACATACTGTCTACTGTCTAGTTACTGGTGTGTTGAGGTCAAAAGTCAATCACTGACACTAACCACTGACTCTTATGAAATTATATTGCTTCACAAATACGCTTCTTGATACCGAGGTGATATCTACCCTTACTCAGCAAAGGGTTTCTTCCTTCCTTCCTCCCTCCCTCCCTCTCTTTCTTCCTTCCTTCCTTCCTTCCTTTCTTGTATTTATACTTCTTAAAAAATTTTATTTAAATTTGAAACAAGCTTGTTTTACATGTCAATCACAGTTCCCTCACCTTCCCCTCCTCCCCTGTCCCCTCCCCAACCCCCATCCCATCCCCTTTCTGCTCCCCAGGGAGGATGAGGCTTTCCATGGGGGAATCATCAATGTCTCAGTACAGGATTTCAGATAAAAATATTTTTGGGAAATGGATATTCAACAAATGGTCATATAGAATTATTTCCAAAGAAAAAGAAGAACAGAATTTAGTAAAATCATCTATTTTTCTGCCTTTAATAATTAATTATATCACTTGTGAGAACTGTAGCAACATTTTACTTTCCATCTCTAGATGGTCAAATATGAGAAAGAGCAAAGAAGATGAACTTGACTTAGTTGTGTAGTCCTGACCTCTGTTCTAGGTAGATATTGAACAATTAAAGCATATAGGTCTTCTTAAAATGCTTCCTGTACTAGTTCCCAACAACAATGGACAGCAGAAATTATAGCCTTACATTTGAGTTTTCCTTTATCACCTGTCACTTTAGTCCCTTTGGTCCATTTGTCATATCTGGAACTGAAGAAATGTTTCTCCTTGACAATTGACAATTCATTTCTCAATACTGGGGGGGGGTGGTGGTGGCTGCTGTCATCATCATACACATTGTAATTATAAACAAGAGTCTCTGTCACCATGAACTTTAACATTTAGCTTTCGTTTGACAGATGTTAGTTTGAAGATGCTCAGCTTCTATATATATATATATATATATATATATATATATATATATATATATATCATCATTTTTTTATAGGCATGTCAAAGATTCTTCCCAGGCTAAAGTTTTTGGTCAGTCTGATAGGGCCCTGTAGGAAACAAGCTCTCTAAGATGCCAATGGTAGAGTATTAAGACATACCTGTGTGCTGAATCTGCCTTTTTTACTGCATGAAATTTTACTGGTGTTTACCAGTAATGAGTCCCCATATTTGTAATAATGCTTTCAAAGAAAAAATTAGGAGGTGTATATTATTTGGTCTTCAAAAACAATACAGCAAAGCTGGTCATGACTGTCTCTACTTGTCATCCTATCACTAAAGAGGCTTAAGTGGGAAGAACTTGTTCAAGGCTATTCTGGGCTACAGAGCCTGTATCAAAACAAACAAACAAACAAACAAACAAACAAGAACAGAGATGGAAATATAGCCTCACTTGGTAGAGTACTTGCCTAGCATGCATAATTCTTGGCTTTGATCTCTACATCCCCCACACATTGGGCAATGGGGTTCAACTTTATGGAGTTGCATACAAGAAGAACATTAGATGTTTAAGGTCATTCTAAGCTATACAGCAATTTTGAGGTCAGCCTGGGGTGACCTACAAATGACCCTGCATCAAAATGGCAACAAAGAACAAGCAAAACAGAGCAATGAGTTAAATACCAGTTAGTATACCAAGATTGTGATCCAGCACACAAAGACGTTTCTTAATTTCAGCAAGACCTTAGCCAGGGTCTGGGAATGGTAACCCTTGTACTCCTGGGCCCCTCTCCCATGTAGAGGTCCTAGGGCATTTTTGCAAAAGTACACTTCTACAAGACATAGTAAAGAAGAGTACAAAGATGAGTGGGTACGAAACCACCTACGGCTCTCTTCTTCTTGTTACTATTATGTAGGCCTAACTGATGTTGAAGAACAAAATAAAGGGACTTAGAGGTCTTTAAGCGGTTCCTATCTGTGTACATTCTTCTTGACTGATGATGTAAAGACTTATATTAAAGGGCTTTTAGTAAACAAGTAACAAAATATTGTTCTGCAGCTACAACAGCATGCTGCTTCACACACAGTGGGGACAGAGCTATAGGAACCATGTTGGATTTGAAGAACAGACACTGTGGCATGCTGCATAATTTTTTTTTAAAACCTCTGAAAAAAAATAAATTTAGCTTCCTTTGACTTAATACATTATCAACTTAATTTAATTTTACTTGTGTGGTCTTTTGTTGAATGCTTATGAGCGTTTTCTACGTCTTTGTCCAAGTTACTGATTAAAACCAGTGACTTGAGCAGAGCCACAGATGGAGTTCCCTGTGTTCCTGGATGTCAGCCTCCCTCCAAGGTTGACTGAACCATTAATTGCTGCCCTATATGATCATGGCATTACATGTAAGCCTACTTTAATGTGGTCAGGCTCACATTTGTCCAACATATGCATAGCCTGAGCCTTTGTCAATAATTATTGAAATAAAGATTAACATTTATGTAATGGCATTTTCCTGATCTATAATTATGGTGACCTTATTAAAGAGGGAAATAGTTTATTTATTTTTTATTAAAATATGGAATTTAAATAAATGATAAAAGGAACTGAAAGTTTGAATGGCACCACCATCCTGGTCATGCAACAGCTACAAGGACACACCAATGATTTAAATGTCTCCATTTGAAATTTGCATTCTAGAATCTTTCCTTACGTTATCAAAATACACAGCGAAAAAATACAAACAAGTAAGACATTTTTTTTTCCTGAAGATAGAGCAACCAAATTCTTGCTTGACCCACTGGGATCCTTCTTCAGCTGTCAACACCTTAGTGTCTTTAAAGGCTCTTAGTCATCACTAACTCTTGGACATATCTTATTTATCCCTGTGCACCTTTCTTTTTTGTATAAATTCTAGCTCTGCTTCATACTGTATTATCCTGAAATTATTTCCCTCTATATTACCAAGAATCCATTTTTGTCTGAGTAAAGGTCCCTAAGAGATTAAGAGATTCCTTAGTTGCCTGTGATGCTCTGTTTAGGGTTGAAGTCTTGTGGGCTTTCCTTGTGCACTTTGGCATATCTACTGCCGTTGTCCTTGTCCAGGCAGTCACATTGGCGAGACTTTATGGGTGTATCTTCTGACATTACTAGGAGACACAAACTGTCTGAGCCTCCGGCTCTTACAGTCTTTCCATCCCTCCCTTCACAATGTTCCCTGAGCCTTAGGTGAGGGAGTTGTTTGCAGATGTATCCATTTGGATTCTTCACGGAAGAGTGGACTGATTGGTTACCCAGTACCAAATGGTCAGTCCTGAAAGCATGCATACAGATAACATTACACAGACTGAGAATGTATATTATTAAATAAACATATATGCCAACTGGGCCTGAAACTTTCCCTTCTTAGGCCTAACTTTAGAAATGTTCCATCATGCCATTATGCCTTGGCTTTCCCATTTCTCCTGAGCATTTAAGTTTTAAACAACTTTCCATTGTTGATCCTAACTATGGTCCTTTGAGAAGTAAATTTCTCAATCTCTTGCGAGCTTTGTAACTTCAGAGTCTTTCTAAGGACTTGATATCAGGTAAGTACTCATTGAGAGAGATGCGCCCTAGGTGTTAATCTTCCTGGAAGAAGAATCCAAAGTCTTAATTGTCATCATTAGCAATCAGGTAGCTAATCCTATTGACCAACCTTTGGAGCACAAGCCCTTCAGATGCAGGAGGTAATCTCTCCTTCTTACTGCAATACTTTAAATAAGTCTTTAGTTGCCCATTTAGCTTGCACGATTGTGAGGTGAGATTATTATTTCACATCCATAACAACAATTCTGCCTCCCTGTCACCATTTTTTTCCTTTTTATAAAAAGCAACTTATTTCTAGATAAAATATAATTAGTCACATTTATGAATTTCTAGTCCTGTTTTTGCTTTCTGGACATCACAGATTCCTGGAAGATGTTTTATTCTTAGCTGTTTTAACACATTTGTCAAGATCTTGTTAGTTTGTGTGACACAGTCCACTCATCAACGGAATTTCTTCTCTTTGCACTCCAGCAATTTTTCCCCTGCTACTGAGAGGTACCTCTGTGATGAGCTAAGCATGCTGGTGAAACTAAAGGACCATCAACCCAGCTAACTTTCACAGACCTTGGCCAATATCTGACTCTTTTGCCTATGTGGGAAGAGTGACACCTACACATTTGGCTTGCTTGTCATTTTGATCATTCATCAGCAGAGCTCACAAAGCTGTGTAACATAGTTTCATGGCAGCCCTGTGGTATTATTTGCAAAGGGGGGGAAATTACAATAGATTCACAGTTTTCCCAATAGATTCCCTGTTCCCTGCACTCTTGCTAGAGTCTCAGGTAGCCCAGGATGGCCTCCCACCCATTATATAGCCAAGGATGACTTCCTGTTCCCAATCCTCCTGCTTCTACCTCCTTGGTGCTAAGATTATAGGTGAGTGTTAGCATGTCTGGCTGTTGGTTGTTCTGTTTGTCTGAACATGAGATTTGTGTCATGCTTTCCTTGAGATTGACAGTTTTAATTTAGTAGACATGTACAACATTGCTTTTTACTTGTACCAAGAATTGCCTCAGTTAGGGAAGAAACTAGACACCTAAACTTAGATAAGTATTACTAAAACCATTAAGTAGGTACAATTCTGTAATCACTGGAGTGTACTAGTTGATATTTAGTATTTTAAAGGCAAGTTAAAAATTTGGCAGGTTTTCTTTTTTATAGTAAATATTAATAATCTTTCTGTGTCTGGCAAGATATTTGCCATGATGGAGTTGGCTCAGATGGTAAGGCAGGCTTTCCTCACCAAATACTTGTTCTTTGACATTTCCCCCTTGTATTTTAATTATACAAATGGATATTTTCCTTTAAAGACTTTGTTTTTAAAGATAATTCTTTACATAATTACATAAATACTGTTATGATCCATGTAAAAATATTTTGTCTAGCTAACTAATATTCCACAACTTATTTATTTATTGGTGGGGAGAATCTATCTATTCCTTCTAAAAATTTGAAAGATGGAATATGTCATTAACAACAGTACAGTAGTTTATTAAAATGTATTCCCCTGGTCTAACCAAGACCTTGGCAGATCATAACCAGATGAATGCTTACAAAAAAAGTCACAATTCCAGGGGGATCGGTCATTGCAGAAATAAAGATGGCAGCATCAAACACAGCAGGGCATCCTGGCAAGTCTCAGTTGAAGCTTTCACATACACTGAAGACTCTTTAAGTGCCAGCTAGACAAACCTGAAGGCGGGGCAAATAGATGTCTGTGAGTTTGAGGCTAGCCTGGTTTACAGACTGAGTTCTGGGACAGCCAAAGCTACACAGAGAAACCCTGTCTTAAAAAAACAGACAAACAAACAAGGTTCTGTAAGTGCAAAGGCCAGCAGATGTCTGGGAGTTCCCACATCAATTCTAACTCTCTTTCCTCTGTTATAACACTGCACAAATGCCAGAAGATGCTTGGAAAATGATTCCCCCTCTCCTTATCCGGGAACTTTTGTTTTACTACCCAATTCCCATTCCTGCCAATCATATCTCATTTTCAGCATAAACTCCTTTTCTATCCCTTTTTGTTCCTGGGGGACAGAGCTTACAAGTCACTCTTGAGCACTAACAAAAACTAACACTCACAGAAGAGAACCAAAATGTTTTTATTTATAACATTTAATTTGAGAAGGATGTTTTTCCTCTTTTTCATGCACAATGAAACTGATCTATAAGAGAGACGCGTGAGCACTAGTTACACAGCAGTCATGCATGTTCACAGACCAACCATCAGAAAATACCACAGTGCTTTTGGTCCCCTAAATATGTCACCCCCAAACTGCTTTTATCTTTTGTTATCCTTTGCTTTTTTAATGGTTTTCTTTTTTGTTTTGTTTTTTTCCAAATGATAGTTTAGTTTACAGTGTTTCATTACAGTCTAGTTTGGTCAGCATTCCCGCCTAGTATCTGAATGTGTTATATCATTTTCCAGGGAAGACATTCAAAGATGTCTTTCTCCAGTTTTATTTTACTGCAGCCTCTTGATAGGGCAGGTGAGTGGTGGGCTGGATTGAAGTCAACACACCTGTCTGCCTGCCTGTAAATACACAGGCCCAGAGAAATTTTTTTTTTTTTTTTTTTAGCCCATGAAAGATAGAGTGAAGATGCAAACTATAATAAATCAGTGACTGATTTAATTCTCACCTAATGAGAGGCTGAAATGGCCAAGTGCATAGTCTGTGCAAGGATTTGATGATTTTCTGGAGAAGCCCAGATGTACTAAGCACTACATGGTTATTTTTGTTTTTTCCATGAATATTCAAGGAGCACTGAAGGGAGGTCCTTAAAAGTTTCATACTCACTCATCTCTGCAAACAGCTGTCTTCTCTCTGCCATGGTGTTTCCTCTTTTCCCACTATCTTCAATCATTCTGTGGACAAAATTGTGACAACATGTGTTAGTCTCCCACTAAGCAAGCAAACAGCTATTTCTATGGAAGCACATTAAAGATACTTGTGCCACAGACAAAAATCCATTGAACTTGTTTATTTAAAGTACAGTGTGCTGGGAAAATGGCTCAGTGGACATGGCACTTTCCCTGTAGATACGAAAACCCTCAGAACCTAAGTGAATGCAGGATAGGCCTGGCTGTTGCCTCTATCCCCCTTGCTTGGGAAATAGAGACAGGGGATTCCTGAAGCAAGATACTTGATCTCAACTTAGGGCCTCCATACAGATCACTTAATACATATAAACCCACACAAAAGTATATCTTTGTATTTTTATACATTTATAAATGAAATATACCATTCAGTTAGACTACCGAGCATATTTCCCATATGTTATATAGTTTTTGAAAGGGATGTAAATGTTTTTATTTCCTAACATGTGGGAAATCATGAAGTTGGGCTGGTCTAGCCCCCTTGAGAAGCATGTGTCATAGATTTTTCAGGTTAGACTCTGTGGCTCGAGGGGCTGTGTGCCTTTCAGTTCCTGAGAAACTGAGTCACTCCTTCAGGCAGGGAAGTAGTCAGGGTTCCTGTGTATGTTTGCATTCCCTAGAAGTCAGCAAAGCACACAGACACTTGACTGGACACTTAGTCTTAGACATTAATCTTGTGTACCCTGTATAACTTATAAGCATCATTGCATCCTGACAACTACAATTGTATTCTTCTTGGCAACCACTACAATTGCATTCTTCTTGGCAACCACCAGTATATTCTGTTTCTGATAAGGGTGTACGAAGTCTGATTGCTTCCAATAAACTTGTCTCAGCTTCAGGCTTACAGTGACCCCTATGACTCAGCCTGGTTGACACTGTCTCTGACCATAACCAGGTAACCCTTGCTTGGTAAGTTAGTGCTGGTGTATATACTAACATAGAAGTTACTAAGTGGCATATGACCCAAATACTACAACAAAATACAACCAGTGTGGTGGTTTGAATGAGAATGGCCCCATAGGTGCATATATTTGAATACTTGCCTCTAGTTGGGGAACTCTGGGGGAAGGAATTTGGAAGTGTTGTGTCACTGGGTGGCGGGGGGGGGGGTGAGTTTTGAAATTTCAAAAGCCCACAGCATTCCGGGTTAGTGTTGTCTCTCTCTGCCTCCTACTTGTGGGTCAGCTGTAAGCCTTCAGCTACTGCTCTGGTGCCAAACCTGCCTGCTTGCTGCCATGCTTCCTGCCTCTCAAGCTTTGATTCTCATCTCTTAGAACTGTGAGCCTCAATAAATGTTTGCTTTTGTAAGTTTCCTTGGTCACGGTGTCTTACCACAGCAATAGAAAAGCAACTCAAACAGCCACCTAATAAATGGTAGGTGCTTTACTTCATATCGAGTACCTCTTATAATTCTGAGAACACTAGATTAGAGACGGAGTTTCTTGGCTCCCATGGAGCAGATGAGGACGCAGGGACTTTGTGAATGACGGGTGTGGAACTCCAGAGCTCCAGGCTCTGTCCTGCTTGTCACAGGTATAGCCACAGTTTCTGCTTAGAAGTAGGTGATTTTCTATTGTTAATTCTTAAGTGTAACTTACAAAACTTTCCTGTATATGATTATTTGGGTTCACATTTCTTTCTTCAACCATGCCATTGTCTACAAACAACTATAACAGGAAATAAACAATTGGGCTTGAGGAAGATGACAATGGGAGTTAATAGAAGCACTATTTAGTAACGGGGTAGCTTTATGATAAATCCTGGGAGCTTGCGAGTCGAGCTTGATTATCATTATAACTGGTTAAACTTTAGAGAGATGAACTCAGGAGAGATGAACTCAGGGTCTTACACATGTTAGACTAGTGCTCTTCTATTGAGCTTCACCCTCGGGTTTTTTTTTTTTTTTTTTTTTTTTTTTTTTTTTACCCTGTTTTGAAATAGAGTCTTGCTAAATTGCTCAGGTTGATCTTCACTTCACAGTGCCTCAGCTTCCTGAGTAGCTGGGATCGCGGTGGGGTTGACACCACCTCGGCTGGCTTTTGTTCAGCCATTAGGAGCTGTACACAGACAAGTACATGCATGTATACTGTCACACCGTCCCTTTGATTCTCAGGCATAGTGAAGACATGGCATGCCTGCGAGGATCTTTGGCTTTTCTTTGGATGGGTCCTGCCTTTTCTAAAAAGGGCTTTGTCCGTGTCTCCCTAACTTGTAGTCAGTCTCAGGGATAAGTCCAGCCGCGACTTACTCGGAAATGAACTCCAACTCTGACGGCCTGGAATCTGAGCCTCTGTAGTGCATGGAACCTTCCTCTTGATGTGTCTGCTCCTCAGACCGTTGTCCGGGACCATTTATCCTTCAGGAAGTGTACTGTGCCTGAGTGAAACAGCTGCTGACTCCAGAATGAAAGTGCTGCAGGGACAGGTGATGTGGAGAAGAACCGTCCCTCTCTGACTCACATCCCATCTCCTTCACTGCACAGGAAGTGGGGGGATCGCACCTGACATCCACAGAGTCATCTGGATATAGCTTCCCGTTTTTTTTATTTCATGGGCTCAGAAATAGAAGGGAAACAGTGGGAGAGACAGGGAACAGAGCCAGCGGTGCAGGCCTGCATCTGTCTATGTGCTGGGCAGGATGGAGAGAATGTTAGGGTAAGCATGGAGGAATACAGGCTGGGACTGACTGAGCGTATCTGTGACGTTAGTTAGGAGTGGCATTTCAGGTCATCGCTCTGGCTGCCTGGACCACTCACATTGAAATGTCCCGTTTCTGAGTTAACTGTGCATTTCTGAAGGTAGTTGAGGACAGAAACCTCATCCACTTAAGATTCTTCACAGGTGGCAGTGTTTATTGAAGAAACGAATGAACAGGGAATGCAAAAAAAGTAGAAAGAGAGGCAAGAAAAACAATAGCTATGTTTTCTTTACATAAAATGGACTTTCAAATTATACTTCACAATATGATATAGAAAAAGAAATTCAAACTATACTCATTTTAGAGGTTCATTGTGTGAAAAACAAGAAAACAAATTTATTTATGTTTATCAAAATCCAGGACTATAAGTTTTTTCTTTTAATCAAAATCATGTCTCATGAAGGAGAAGTTGAAAAAGTTGCAGATTCCATGAATGTCAACTTCTGGTTTGTTCATCACCGTTTTTGTTGTTTTGTTATTTACTAATTCATGCATAAAAGCACCATAAACTACACAATAATTACTAATTTTCACTTTGAAGAAAAGCATATGTCTTATGAGGGAAAACTCATTGGCATTAGATCTTAGGAGTAACAGAAAATACAGTACCAGATACAAAGGAAAATGATGGATATGCTTCCTGGGAAGCATCAAGCCAAATTAAACTGATAGTCTTTACTTCCTTCACTCATTACGACCAAGGAAGGGATGGGCATGCTGGCTAGCTTCCCTCTCAGGCTGAGTCTGAAGGTGCTGTGTGGGACTTCCTCACTCTGGTCTGTCTTCCTTGATTACTCTCCACATTACCCTCTGGGGCAGGTTCCCACATGGAACTTGGAGCTGGCCTGTGGGTCTCGAAAGGTGGCCAGTGAGCTCTGCTTTTCCAGTGCTGGAGACACAGGTGCCACCACCATACCCAGCTGTTCTACATCAGTACAGGGAATCTCAGGCCTCTATGTATCAAGCACTTCATGTACTGGTTGAGCCATCTCCCCAGCGCCTCAACAGCGACAGCTCTTGAAGCGTGTTCAACAATCAGGCAGGTGAGTACCACCATTGTGGGCTTCGTGACTCCCAGTCTAACTTATCGGTGCAACTGACATTTTAATGCTCCACCACATTTCATCATCTTAGAAACAGAACAACAAGGGCCTTGATACACTGAATACTTCTATAGGTCTGCAGTTTTGCTTGGAAAGCAATGGGACTTGGGAAAGATCTCTAGCTTTCATGAATTTTAGTAAAACAACAGTTGTCCGAAGTCATATGGTGGAGGTGAAGGGACAGTATTACCTATCGTTCGTCACAAGGTGTGGCTCACCTACATATCCCGTTTGTTCAACTTATGTCTCTCCTTGTAGATGGGACATGGAAAACTTAAGCTCTTATGTAAGTGTAGCTTGCACTGCAGGAAAGAACAGTGACAATTGAATGATGAGCTCCTTCTTCTGTCTCCTGATTAAAGCTCAGCTCCCAGGACTACACAGAGCACCTGCTGTCTTCACTCACTAACCGTCAGCTGCTTATTTTAGAAATACTCATAAAGTAGGAGCTCCAGCATGCATCTCGCTCTGCTTCCTGACGGCGTACAGTGTGAGCAGCCATCTCATGCTTCCTCCATCCTGTCTTCCGACCACGATAGACGACTTCCCCTGCAAACCACGAGCCCCAATAAAACCCTCCTTCCTTAAACAAGAAATCTTTGGAAAGGACCTGTAAGTTGTCACACACTTCATAGTCTCCGATGACCCAAAGATTAAAAAGACATGACCTTATGGTCTAAGAATTGGAGAACATTATTTTCTAGTATTTATGGCTTAGTGTAATATATACCACATGAAAGCATGGATTGCTGGAAGTAGTGGATTATTTATGAGATCTGAAAATGACATCACACAAAGATGATTCTGGCTCTGGCATGGGAGGATGAAGAGCAAATGACTTTTTTTTTTTTTTTAACATAGAAGAGTACAGGAAAAGTAACTGTAGTTAGAAGGATCCATGGAAAATCACATAGATTTCGAGGGGCTATTGCCCACCGGGGAACTTGGAATTAGCCAGCATCTCTGTGTGCAAGTGTTAGTGGAGATGTGGAGAAACAAAGCAACATCAAATTTGAAGTCTCATGTCTAGACCATTTAGGGGCCTTCCTCATGTACATGTCTAGACCGTATAGGGGCCTTCTTCCTACAGGAGAGAACCAGGGTAGCTCCCCCCCCTCAAAGGTTTAAGCAGAGAGTTCATACACAGAGATTTATATTTTGGCAAAGTGACCCTATCAAGTTAAG